GATCCCTGATGTAAAGGGAGTGTACCTATGTTCCCCGGGTTCTATGTTCCCCGCTTTGTATGGGACCGGGGAACCCTAACCCTAACCTTAGCAGGGAACATAGGACCCGGGGAACATAGGGATGACCCCGCAGCAATCAAACTGTAGTTCCTCTGTAGCACGCTAGCTAACAACTCCTAACAGTTAGAGCTAAATGCATCATAAAAAGTTATTTTGACCAACTTTTGACTACTAGTATTTACTGGCATCAATTTTTTTTTTCTCAGAAAAAAACTATAAGACTGTTTTTTGACAGTAAATACTGTCAAAAATTGAAAGCGAGATTAGCTAACCACGAGTGTTAGGGTTTGTAAAATTACAGTGGCTTACCATTGCAAAACAGGTGCCAGGAGACAAAAAAATATAAAATATAACATGAACTGATAATACTTAATTTACTTACCAAACGCAGGTGGACATTAGCACAGTCCCTTGTGCAGCAGTCGGAGGAGCGCTCACAGATCTTCTGGCTTCAGTCAATCGTGTGTGTGTATGCAGTGGGGGCAGGGTCACATGAACACTTCAAGTGTAAAACCAGGATCGGAGTTTAGAGTGAGTTCAGAGTTAATATTTACACAATTACACTTACAGGTTTAATTTAGTGACACTTGGTTTTTACACTCGATTTTGACACCAACTACTTATCAACTGAATTCAAATATAGACTCCATCAAAGTAGAATTACCTCTACTTTTGCTCAAATTTCACTAACACCGAAAATTTAACTCTTCTGAATTTGCTGTGTAGGAGGTAGGGTCAGACACACAGAAGGCCCAAGACTGATTGAAATCTATCCTCATCATGCCAGCACTGAGAAAATCATTAAGGCAATGAGCGCCTTCTCTATCCGGGTCCAGACTGGGTTTTTGCTGAAATACGACAACAGGGTCCTGCGTGGTGGACAGGCTATTAAACGACACCCTTTGCAGAATGCCAGCGATGCCAGGCATAACTCTGACATCTATTATGGCTGATCTACCCCCTTCTTTTCCACCGCGGTTGGGCCATTGCACTGAAAAACGACGGGGGACTCATTTTGAAATGCCTAATTACCCGCTCTGTGTAGACCTCCTTCACAGTTTCAGAATCAGAAATACTTTATTGATCCCCAGGGAGAAATTAGTTTGTTACAGTTGTTCTACTCACACATATTAAGGAAAAGAAATAATACTTATATTACAATACCAAAAGGTTTAGATGCCACTGCTTTCTCGCCGGCCTTACAGAGGTTTATAGCCAGGCAAGGACACCATCTGAATTTCTCTCTGATCAGGGAACGAATTTCCGTGGTGCGGAGAAAGCTAAGGGAGTCCTATGCAGCAATGGAGCCAAAGCTACATTTCAGCGGGAGCGGGAGATTAGATTGATCGAGAATGCTCTCCAAGTGGTGATCGGAAGTCAGTCAGTGTTGGAAGATGTCTTGCTCACAGTTTTGGTGGAGCTTAACAGCACCCTGAATGCCAATCCCCTGAGGTACTTATCCTCAGATATTGCAGACCTGACACTCGTGCTCGTCATGGAGCAGCAGGATGCTGCACTACCTCAAGGTACCTATTTTACCAGAGCCACGGACCAGACGTCCTTGGCGTCATAGCCAGACCATTGCTGGCCACTTCTGGTCTCACGTCACACATCACTATCTCCCGGCCTTGCAAGGTCGCTCCAAGTGGTGACGACAGGTTGATGACCTTACCTTGGGTTCTGTGGTCATGATAGTGGACCCCCAGATACCCCATGTGTACAGTGGACTGTTGGTTAGATCATCAAACTCATACGAAGCACAGATGGGCACATTCAATCTGCCAAAGTCAAGGATCAGGATCACAGCTATCTTTGCCCTGTTGCTCGTCTCGTTCAGCTCCAAGCCATTCCCGGCGAAGATACTCAAGCAGGATCACCAGAGTTAATTTCAGTGGTTACACATGAGCTTAACTCTGGGGGCAGCTAAATTCCCCAGTTAGGGAACTAGGGCAGCCTCTAGTGCTGTTGGGTCCCATCTAGGTCCTAAGCTGCAAGCACCTGGTAGCAGTGAGTTGAATCATGGTATGCGTGCATGAGACAAGTAAGTGTTGCTAATTGTTTGTTAATTTCTGTACAAATTAAGCTACTAAGCCATCCAGGCCTTTCTTTAGTTGTATCTTCTTGCTGAGTTAAAGGACTTATAGGATATTCTCTTTGTAATTGACCACACAATTCATTCTTATTGAAACACATTATTTATTTTTTTTAAATGGAATTGTTGCTTGATATTTTGTTAGCAGTTACGTATACTGACTGTAATGTTCATTGACAGAATAAGTATTGGCTGTATGTTTCATTTCTATTTACTGTTACGCTTGTATTACAGAAACCATAGCATTTTTTGCGTGTTTCACTGCAGTTTCTCCTTGCGCGTGGTGTGGAGTGAGGGAGTTGCAATGTGCACCGTTAGATTCCACTAAATCATACACACTGGACCTCTAATTAACTAGTGCCACATGCACTTACTGTACAACACTGAAACACTGCTGTGTTGCCTCACATGAGACCAGACTTGAGTTACATCAGTCAATCAGTGATGAGCCCAAAGGATACTAAAAGACAGCACCCACCCAGCCACAACCTGTTCACCCTGCTGCAATCTGGGAAGAGATACAGAAGCTTCCTCTGCTGTAGACCAGACTTACAGACAGCTTCTTCCCTCAGGCTGTGAGACTGTTAAATTCTCCCGTAACATTTTTTTCAGCTTTTATGCCTTTATTTGA